ACAGTTCTGGGGGGGTCAGGACCCCCTTGGGCTCCATGTGCAGAGTGGGGGGTCCTTGTTGTAGTGCAGCCAGCAAACAGGGTGCTGGTGAGGCGTCCCGGAGACTGTTGTTGGTCTAGTGCAGGGGAAGCACATTCTTCTGGGAGCCCAGGTCATCCTGGGAACCCAGAGACTGAAATCTCTGCCCCGCAGAGGCCCAGGGAAGCTGAGCGCACAGTGAGTGTCCAAGAACCCAGGCTCTCAGCTTATACAGCCACCAGGAGGGTCAGCGACTGGCCGGGCTGGACCAGCTCCCTCCAGATATGGAGGCTGCAGTGGACTTCCTCCCCACCCCCAGAACCCAACGAGCCTCTTCAAAATTGATCTGCATCCGAATAGGAGGGGAGGGGAGGGAGCGGGTCCCCATCCTCTAAGGTGATCAGCTCTGGGGGTGCGGAAAGGCTTATAGACCAAATCTGTCTGGTGTCCTTCGGGCTTGGAGAGCCTGCTGGAACCAAGGACTACTTAGGAAGCACACTCTCCTCCTTCAGATAGGAACCTGAGGCCAGAGGGAAAGTCTGGCCCTTCCCACTTTTCCCTGGGTGCTGGGGTCGCATCCTCCGTCCCTCCGGCTGCAAGGCAGCTGAAGGCAGGCTGGCCCCTGCATTGGACACTGACGCACAGCTCTCACCAGGGGTCTGCGCTCAGCCCTGGCTGCGCCTCCCCGCTTCCTCAGCCTTCCTGGGGTATTTTCTCTGTCCTCTGTGTTTGAAGGGTCTGCTGAAGCCACATTCCCGTTACAACGAATGGGGCTGAATGCTGCTCTAGGGGACTGCAGTCCCAGTGGTATCTCAAGGGCAGCACCCTGTCTGATCCTTGGTCAGGCCTCAGCCACTCCCATTTGAGGACCAGACTCCCACAGAGCCAGGAATGGTATCACAGCGCCCAGCTCTCCCTGGCTCCCCGGACCCTCTGTCCAGCTATCCCTTCTGCAATTGGAAAACACACCCGCCCTCCACCCATTCTGGATCCTTCCCTCAAGTCACACAGGAGAGGTGACTCCAGAGTTGGAACCTCTGAAGTAGGGGTTCCCACCTTCCAGGAATTTAGCTATATTACCTCTTCCGTCACTGGTTCTGATTGGATGAGTATGTGCGCAGAGCCAGGTTATAGGACATCTTTTGTATTTTGGTATTTTATATCGTGTATCTGAAAAACGGGATGCAGAGTTCCGTTTACTAACAGCTCTTTCTTTCGCGCTTTCTCTTTCTCGGCCTTCCGAGGCTCACGACTTCTCCCCTCCCAGCCGGAACTGCGTATCTTCCTTCCTTCCAATGAAAGGGCGTTAGATCGTTAGATCGAAGTCTACTGAGAGTTCCAGGGACTAGGCTGGAGGCAGGATCCACATTGGGTCCCTCGCACGTGGGTGTCAGGACCAGAATGGAGAAATTCAGTTTCTAAAAGGAACAGACACCTGGGGGGTGGGGTAGGGGTGGGGGGAACTATGGTGTTGATGATGCTTAGGTCACTTGCTGCTTAGGTCAGGGCTGCTTGTGGAAGGGCGGTGGTGAGAATCCGGGAGCCTGGAAGGCAAGAAAGCCCTCGAAGGTTGCCTTCAGTGCCGGCTCTGTCTAAAGGCAGGCACCAGACAGTCTTTAGGCCCCAGGTAGCCCTCAGTCCAGCCTCGGAGGAAGGAGGAGCAAGATGACCATGGCCATAGCCTGGTCTCTGAGTCCCAGCAAGCTGTGTGGAAGCTAAAACCTGATGGATGTTTCACAGTTGAGGGTGTGGCGCTTGCCAAAGATGGTTGGAATGATAGAGCATCCCTCTGTGCCAGGCTTGTGCCAAGCACTTCACACATTATCCCAGATGCAGCTGTTATCCCCCCGACAGGGATATTTGATGCAGGGTCCCTGGACCAGAGTGATGAAGAAAGACAGACTTAGTAATAAACCTAAATAAATACGCATAGCTCAGAAACAGGTACTCCAAAGCCCACCCTCCCCAGGCTCCAGACTCCCAAGGAATCAGTCCCACTCAGCCCTTCCCGGAGACAGGGGCAGCCGCTGAGCTGCCAAGAAGCCATTAGAACCCTCTCTAGGTGGGGGTCCCTCTCAGGAGAGGAGTCTGCTGTAGGTGACCCAGGCTGGGTCCATTTTACCCAGCAATGCACAGACACGTGAGAGGGGAGCTCCCATCTCTGCTTCCCGACACGAGGTGCTCTTAGATGGGGACGTTTGAGAGAAAGCACACTATTGTCCATCACTAGGACCGAAAGGGAGAGATCACAGGGTGGGGAAAGGAGAGGGTGTAGTGAGTCCCGGTTGGTGGCAGGAGCTCTCCCGGTCTGAAAACCGACAGTGCGGAGATAGGACTAGGTTTGTCGGTCTAGAGCAGCAGAAGGAAGCTGCGTGGGTAGCAGGCGGATCTAAGGATGAAAGTCTGTTCCTTCCATCCTATCCACAGAATGGGTCTCGGAACAGAAATAGGAAAACGGTGTTCTCTCTCTGTTGGAGAGAGTTCTGCTGGTCGCAGGCCCGTCGGTGTCTGAGACCCCAGGAGGGCACCTAACACTGAGAGCCAGGGCAGGCAGCCCTCGGACTAACACCACGCCATCCGTTTGTCCGATACGTGGCCGCAGATACTGTGAGGAGTCGGGCAAACGAACACTATCCTGGAAGCAGCTCTTTCCCGGCACCCGGCCGGCCGCTTGGAAAACCGAGGCGCTGCAGCTGGCGCACATCTGTGCTCTGATCCTGGCAGGGCAACTGAGCAGCTAGCAAGGCGCCAGCGCCAACTAGTGGGAGGTTCTGGTCACTGCTTCAGCCCGGGAGACCCTGCACCCGCGACCTCGGGCTGCATGTTCCGTCGGAGCCAACACTTCCCCAACCCTTGATTCTGGTGCCCACAGTGGGCCGGCGCCTTCCAAGGGCTGTAGCTGAGTCCAGATCCGGGGTCAGACGCCGGGTCCCCCCAGAGCCTCATTCTCTGGAAACTCGTTTGTTAACTTGCTGGAAGGACAGAAAGAGAAATTAGGCGGAGAGGCTAGTAAATGGGGCAGATGCAAACTGGAACCACTCGATAAATCGAATTTACACACCATTGAGGCAGCAGGTCACGGCCCACGGTTGTTCGAGAGCTGAGCAGGTGGCTTGTCGCGGGTCTGGACCCTATCTGGTGGCGAGCAGTGGTCCCTTCCTAGGGGAGCCCCCTGAGGGCACACGTACCATAGCCAGGCTCCCAGGATTTCCTCTAGTCCTGAGGCTTTTGCCCGAGCTTCTCACGCGCAAGGACCTCGGCCCAATGATGGGCAACCCCGAGTTATTGGTTCTCTAAAATGTCCAGTAAGCGACCCTCACGGTCCCTTGCTTTCTTGATAGCCTGAGGCGCTGACTTGAGGCCCAGAGAGGAGTGTAGGACAATTCTCCTGGCGCTCCTCAGATTCGGGGCCAGAGCTTGTCCCCAATGTCGTGCGCCTCCGGCCTGATTTCGTTTTTGACAAAATAGAGCGTGCTAGGCTGAGATCCAGAATGAAGTCTTGATGTCGCCGTCGGATCCTAGGTAGTGTCACTCTTGGGGCTTGGAATTGTTCGTTATATTCGCGTCCACTGCCGCTGGCAACGAAAATGCAGACGAATTTCCAAAGCACCGAGAGAAACCCAGGCGTTCGTTCGTTCCCGCAGTCCAGGGAATGCACCTGGGGGATGGCCCCCAGTGATTGTGGGCTTCTCGCTCCGGCTCTGCCCCCCTCTGTAGACCTATAGCTGTCTGTCTATGCACCCAAGCTAGGCCTGGAGACCGGAGAAGGGAGAGGTGCTGGCATTGAAGTCCAGGAGCGGCTGGGCCACCCCGCGTAAATAACAATGGAGACCCCAGGACCGATTTTCCACAGGGTCCCTGACAGCGCTGTACATCACAGCAACCAGGGCCAAGAAGACGTGGCTCTGCCCTAGGAGGGCCCCTCTTACCACCCACAGGGAGAAAGCGGTCCGGCTCCTCTCCAAGCCACTGACCGTTTTCTTCCTGCCACAGACCCTTGTCTCCTTCCACGACACGGGAAGGTGGCTGCACGCATTGGCGGTGACACCAGAAAACACACGTGTTGCAGACCCTACTGTAATTTTCAAAGAGCCACCGGCCGCCACGACAGAGAACGACTCCACGAGGCCTATGCGATCCTGAAACTAGTTTTGATTGGACAGGAGCAGGGTGGTTGACCCCCAACCCACTGCTGATTCGTGTGGGAACCCCCATTCTGTCTGCCTCGAAGGTTGACACAGAGGCCACAGAGGGCCAAGACAGCGCGGAGCTGGGGACCGTGGAATCCCGCGTGGGGTGGAAGCTCTAGGGTCAAAATCGTTTGTGGGGTGGAGGGAGTGAGGAACCAGCCTTGGGTGTCACCGCAGCGACCAGCTGAGGGTGCAGGTTCCGGGCTGCGGTGGCCAGAGCTGGAGCAGCCAGGCTGCGACCCGAGGGAGGGGCACGGAGGCGCAGTCAGGACGCTGGAAACCGATTTCTGCCTCGGTTGCCGCGGTTGCTCCCGACTCCCGGGGATCGCAGCTCCCGCGCGGCTTGCTAGGACGCGGGTGTCTAGACCCTTCGGGGAGGGGCCTGGTCCCTGCTAGGCCCGCGCGGGCCCGAGACGCCCGGTCCTCCCCGGCGAACTCCGAGCCTGGGGGCTGCGATTGGCTGCTCCCCGCGTCGCTCGCGCGGCCCCGCCCCGATGCCCCGGGTACTAACCCCG